AAAATCCAGAATGATCTGGATAAAAGGAAATCGTTTCAGTGATCACCACCAGCCTGTAAAATAAACATTTAACATTTAGCTGACACATTTTAAAAGTGAGTTTGTTTTATGATTTTCTGAACGATCGCTAATAAGAAGATAATTTTAATTTAATAATACTGATAATAAATTTTAGTTTTTCGGAGACGATCCTTCTAAATTTACTCTTTGAAAAGGTACATTGAATATTATTTTTTATTCAATATTAATATAATTTCTATAGCATCGAAGAGGGTTAGAACATCAAAAGCTAGGAAATGTAAAAAAATCGTTACAAAGACATAGAAGTCTAAGTTTTTTAAAAATTTATTGTTGGAAATAGGTGATCTAAACTAAACATACACTTATCCGTCTATTTCGCTTTTATTATTGTTTAAGATTCTTCATTGATTCATAATCACGATTTACAGGCTACCAATCTCTTAAATGCCATCATCTATGTTTCTGTTCATGTAAACCTGTCAAAGGCAGACATGCAAGGAACAAACCCGCTTGTAAATAATGTTTAATGTGAAAACTTTCCAAGACCCATTTTTGAAGGACCGTTCGAACAGTACGCTCTAATTTTTTTTTTTTTTTTGTTAACTTTTATCGAATCGGCATTTTACATTCGAATTAATATTAGTGAATGGGCCGCCCGTCCAAATATTTAGTATTCATTGGCCCCCTCGGGCTTGGCCCGCGCATTTTTATTGCATTCCGGCGATAAATCGAAAACTCTCTCCGTGGACTAATGAAATGACAAATAAATGATTAATGCTCTTTAGTTATAATTAATTCGCCGTTGAGGTCAGGCCGGGCCGAACAACCGGCACGTGAATAACTTTTGGTCAAATGACACCGGTCCTAAGTCAATTTCAAAAAGTTAATTTGTTACATGTCACATCTGACAAACGAAACATTTTTTCTTAAATTGAAAACCTTATACTTCCTTCCGCAAATTCAATACAAACCACTATTCACTTTGTTTGATTGTGATAATATTGATTTACAATACATTGTATCCTTTTTACACGAATCGGCTGAATTTCTCTTGAACTGATAACGTTATCGAAAAACCGTAAAATAGTTATTTAATATTTTTGAGTCTATTATTAAATTTTCACTGCTTAATTACTTATTGAAATTTATAATAAAAACAAAATTCACATTACGTGCTTAACTTTGTTATTATTTGACCAATTTAAATTAAATAACAATTAAATTAATTCTTATAGCGCCATGGTTTTCTGTGTAAAACATTCTTCACTTGTGGGTTTACGTTCTCATTTAAAATTTCAGAGTTGTACTGGCTATGAAGTATCCTGACAACAAATATTTTTTAAAAATAAGTAAACATTTAAAACTATTAAATCCATTATGTTTAGTGATCTGTTTGACTAAATGACTTCTTTCGATTAATTCTTCTTTTAACGGAAGATTTTGGTTGTAATGAAAAAGTTAGTGTCACAAGCAGGATTAGGATGAAGGTCGTAGGTTCGAATCCCGCTCGTGACACTAACTTTTTCATTTCAACCAAGACCTTACATAAAAAGAATAATGATTTAAAACTATACGAAAAAATGTTAAATAAATACTTTTTGGTTTTTTCGATAGAAAATCAGCCGGGGCATCTGAAAAGGACACCACATATAGGAAAAACTCAAATGATTACCTGTATCAGAAATGCTTTAATTATTTAATCGGATGTATAAAATAATTGCTTTTAAAGTACAATATTAGATCCATGCTACAACTAAGTTTCTGCACTAATTTATTTATTTTTTAAGAATCGCTTCAACCACAGCAGACTTTGCAGATGTTTGAAAATCAGCCGGGGCATCTGAAAACGACACCGCATATAGGAAAGACTCAAATAATTGCCTGGATCAAAAATGCTTTAATTATTTAATCGGACTTATAAAATAATTGTTTTTAAAGTTTAAAATAGTTGTTTTTAAATTAATTTTTTTTTAATCTATGCTACAACTAAGTTTATGTACTAATTTATTTATTTTTTAGAATCGCTTCAACCACGGCCAGATCAAAGGCGACAGATTGCCTGGATTTTCGTCATTATTTTGTATTCACAAGTGATAATGTTTTTAAAAAACATTCTTTCCTGATGTTTGATTTAATAAGAAAAGCTACTAGATAATAAAATTAGGGCTGGTTGGGATTCCTAATTCCAACAAATTCAAACGATTTGAAATTTATTGTTAAAATAATTAATTAATTTTAATTTAATTTTGTTTAAAAAAATAGGCATGATACGTTAGATCTTTCATTTTTGTGAACAAAGATCAATTTTTATAAATTATGTAGTAATATTTATATGTAAATGGTCAAGATATCAGCATAATCATTCTTCCTAAATTTGTTTTTCCAATTATTTACAGGAAGAATTAAGTATGTAGAGCATGATAGTTAATTATTAATAGACACTTATTAAATAAACGAAAATGTATAGACAATCCTTCTCGTTTCTTATATAATTACTTGAAACTCTGACAGATAAAGCCAACGATTTGAAATTATACGATAAATTAAGAAAGAAGTTAATTGGTCAATCGGACCACGATATTAAATAAACGAAAATGTATAGACAATCCTTCTCGTTTCTTATATAATTACTTGAAACTCTGACAGATAAAGCCAACGATTTGAAATTATACCATAAATTAAATTTTAATTTTTTTTAAATTCATTATTGTTGATAAGTTGACCAGACGATGGATTGGCAGAACTAGAGAAAGTCCTTGGTTCAAGGGCGCCGAACATCTAGTCACTTCGTCATTCTTATTTGTAAACAAACTTTTCTAGTAATTCTTTCATAACTGATAGCTGGCATTCTTATTGCTTTTTGAAAGTTTAGTGTTTTGATTGTTCAAAACAGGAGTTCCGGCAAGCAATCAAGAAATAAATAATAATTAATCAATAATAATATTAAAATTACTGGCAGTACGTTTAAAATTCACAGATGAATATGAATGATGGCAAAATTCTAAATCGCGTTTGCCAAGCGAAAACTGCAGTAAAATGTATTGAAAAATTGTGGTTTTAATTTATTTTTACTTTAAAAAGCCAAGAATAACAACAAGAAGAATAAGTATTTTATTAATTACCTTTTTATTTATAACTTTTATCGTGTCTTTGATGCGAATATTGTATTTATTCTTACATGCTTTCACAAGGTGCCTGTAAGAAACCTGAGAAATAATAAAAGTTTTTAATAAACAATAAATAAAAATTATTACTTTATTCCTAACCAAATCGTAATTATGGAGTGATTTATTCTGGTGATAGATATTAAACAAATTGAATCAATTGGAATTGTTTTGAATTTCAAAGGAAGTTTTATAAATCTTTTGGACTTCACTGTTCAAAGGGGCTGGTATGACATTGATCGATCAATTTTGATAATTAATTTTCGTAGTTTTAAACCCTTGCCTTAATAACTAACTTTTTGGAAAGGTATTTGTAGTTTTTCCACTTTGTTTTGTCATTGAGAAAGAAAATATATTGAATGTTAGTAATATTTCGATTGATTCTATTGTTAATATTTGATTTAATAAATTCTTTTATTGTTATAATAGTATGAAAGAGAGAGTGAAAAAGTGTGTGTGTGTGTGTGTGTGTGTGTGTGTGTGTGTGTGAGAGAGAGAGAGAGAGAGAGAGAGAGAGAGAGAGAGAGAGAGAGAGAAATTTGGCGTTTTAAAAAGAGTTGTTTACAAGGTTGTGAGGAGCTGAGTTTATGAAACAGAATCGCCAGGTGCTTCCCCATACTTCTTGTTTGTAAACAAACTTTTACAATAATTCTTTTAAAAGTCATTATTTACATTCTTCACTCCGTTATTTGACTTCATTTTTTACCTACTATCTTCAATAGGAGAATCCAGAAATTGTGAATTAATAAAGTCGTTCCCCGAAGTGACAAATGTCACTTTATCTCCTATAAATCTCTCATAAATATTTTTGATGTTACTTAATTTAAACTAATATTGAAAAATAATGTTTACTATGAATTATTTTTTCATTGTCAAACTTGATTTTTATTAAATTCACTAGTTTTCGTGGTCCGCTTGACCAATTAATATCATTTAATTAATTAAGGCTTTTATTTGAGATAAAAAGTCAGTGTGTGCGGGATTCGAACCCAAGACCTTCGGCTTGATACGCCGCTGCTGTACCACTTGAGCTATCGTGACTTCGATCCACTCAGGCACCAACTTCCCATCTCAACCACACACCTTTTGAAAAATGGCAATAAGGAGAGAAAATTCAGTTTTTGTTGTTCAGATAAGAAACTGATTTTAAAGGTACAATTTTCAACAAAAAATCGCGACTAACACCTGCCTGTGTTTATACTAAAATTATATTAGTCCGCGAAGGGCTGGGGCTTTTGAAAAACACACTTTCAGAGTTGCTGAGATTTGAACCCCGGACCCTTACGATGATGAGTCGCCGTGTCGACGCCTTAACTGTGGCGGTTACCAGCATTAATTTTTTCGTATTAATCTTATTTTCATTTTTCATATTTGTTGATGATGTTTTCATACTTATAATCTTTTTTAAACATTTCAGACAAATTGAAGAGCTTGACAACCCCCCAATTTTTTGTTTACACACTATGAATGCACACGTTCGAGAGGCTATCCCAAGAATGGGGTCAGCCTTTTTAATTTTATTGTGTCGAAAGAGGCCTGCGTCATTTGCCAAGCGTTAAGTGTAAATCACGTGACCCCGGCCATTAAATTTCACCTGTGTCAGAGCTAAACGTCAAACACTGAATAATCCTTGCAGATCCTACGTGACAACTATCGATAAAAGGGTCGTTTAGTTCAGTGACTCTCCTCTGCTCCCCATATGTCCAGAGTGCTGGACCTTGTACCGTATATTATTCATCCCTGCGCCCAACACGGCTCACCCCATCCACTTAAAACTTAACTCGACGCTTACTCTAACTAAACAGACTTACTAACCCCCGTCGGAATTCTGGAACGGTTCGGCCACAGTCGACCCTTCCCCTGATCGAAAACGGGAGGAAATTTAATCCCAAGGTGAAAATTTCAACTGCTCCGTATGGGCTATCTCGGAGAATCCGGTTAAATTACTCAAGATAAAGCCTTACTGTTTGCCCAAGTCCAGGGGCCGTAAATCCCGGCGCCTCCTTACCTGAAACACAGAAAATACAGACGTCGTTTACAAGGTGGAATTAGATTCAACATCACTTTATCACCCCATACTCCAGGGGAAGCACTAAAATTCACTTGACCAGATGGTGTGCCTGGGGAAATTACATGGCATTACAAGTCGCGGATTCTGCTGATTCAACCCATTTAACAATTTAATGCAGCTTTTATCTTACGATCCAAATATAAGGCACTTAGCAATACTGATAACGAAAAAAGAAAACCGTACGAAGTCATTATAAAAATCATCATTCTTTTGTTCACCATGAATTTATTATTTTTAAATTACATATTCATAGAAGAATGTATAATTTTCGTGATTTTACATCTTCGAACTATTGATCCAATGGATCAACATGAAACGACATGTCAACAGCCAATCATTCGCAATTCTTGCGCATTGTCTTTCCTCGTTTAAAAGTTCGTTAATTTAATTAATTTTCTATGATTCATTAAAACGAGCTTTAATAAACTTGTCATTATAGTGATCAATAAGGCCAAGGAATGAAAGTACCGAGTAGATTGGTCATGGTGGTCATCAAACTAATTGTCTATCTTCGGTTCCCGTACTCTGATTGTCACACTTCGTGCTTTTGCAAAGCACTATCATCACATTGACTGGTTACATTTTCCAATAACTTAATTAATAATTCTTTTAATGTGTTTATGAACCACTGATTATAACGCGCATATAAACAACGGATAAGACTATTTAGTAGAGTAGAAATTACGGTTATCACAATTGACAATGGTGCATATTCTACCTGATTGACACATCTCGTTCTTCTCCAAATGGCCAAAATCGTATTGTTATTCTTTACCTTTTCTAATATATGTTTTTTTAACTATTCATGAACAAAGATTATGATGATTATATACATCAGTATATTGGATAAAAGAGAACTTGTTGTCATTAAGTTTATTAACAGCCTCTAGTCCTCCTTCATCACTGATTCTCAACCCACAATCTGCTATATGGGATTAAGTTGGTTAAAGGATCTATGATCATGTTGAACAGACTGATTACTTTAACAAGGCGATGAAAGTATGGTTGCGTAGAATCATTAATGTTTTCTATGAAATGTAAGTTATTTATTTATACATTTTTAATAATCTTTTTATGTAAGGTTAAAATGGAAATGTTAGTGTCACCAGGGGATTCGAACCCACGACCTTCGGCTCAATACGCCGCTGCTCTAACCACTTGAGCTGTCGTGACACTAACTTTTTCATTTCATCCAATACCTTACGAAAGATTAATTTATAATCTCTTTGCCTCTTAAAAAGATTAATTAATTGAAAGAAGTTATTTGGTCAATCGGACCACGAAATATAATGGATTTTTAATAATGTCACATAAATTAATGTTCTACTTAAGAAAATGCAGAAAAAAAACCAGTTCAGTAAATGAATATCGTAACGTAGTAAAAATAATGATTTTTTTTTAGAAAATCGTAAATAAATAAGGTTTTAGATAAGTTTTTGAGTGTATCATGCCAACATATGTCAAGTTAATCGGACCATTAACTAAAGAACCCAGCTATGATTAGAAAACATGCTGAACAAAAATTATGATTCTTTTAAATCCCATATAAAAATAATGTCGCGACAACAAAGTATTGATTTTCATTGTTTTATGAACTTTCATTCTGCAAATAATAAAATCTTCATGGCACCATACAAACATTTCATAAAGGAACGAAAAGTAGAGTTAGCCAGAGGTAGTGTCATTGACGAAATTGAAAATCTCGACCTTACTTCTGAGCAGAGTTCGAATAGTTCCATTATTATCGTGATGCTTAAGTAGGAATAAAATTATTCGTGTGTGATCTTTTGCAATATCCAGTTCGACTTATTTTAAGAAAAGGATTACAGAATCTGGATCGGTTTTATTACTTTAAACCGACCTGCATGCTTCCACCAATTAGCAATATGTTCTTGTCTGATTTTTGTGAGTATTGATTGATGTAAACATTTCTACGCATATTTCTTGCCCTTATTAAATTATTTGTGAGTTTTTAATTCAAATCGACAGGCAGTTTGCTGACTTTAAGAAGGTCACCGCTGAGAAAGGCGAAATGCCAAAACGCATGACTTACCGAAGCAGAGGGTTGGAAGTCAAATACGATCAGCATTCATTAACTAGGTGAACTATAAAATTAAGCCGAAGGACGTGGGTTCGAATCCCGCTCGAGACACTAACTTTTTCCTTTCAACCAAGACCTTACATACAAAAAAGTAATTAATTGAAAGAAGTAATTTGGTCAATCAGACGACTAAATGTAATGGATATAAAATTAGGCTTATTTTTTCTCATGTATTTTCTTCGCTGAAGTCTTGCGGTTGTTGGGTTGTTTAAGCCGTTTAAGAATTTTCTGCTAAAATCACTTTCATGGACGTGGAAAGTTTGCAAGACATCAGTCCGAGTTCATTTCACACTCGTTTGGTGATTCACAACGAGTGCAATTTGATTTTACGAGGTGACGACAGCCGTTTCTTTCCGACGATAACACCACAGTAAGGAAAACAAATTTAGATAATGGAAGAAGCGAAATTCCCTCTGCGTATCATTATACTCTCCGGTTAATACATCACAGGATCAATTTTTTAAAGTAATTGTTACAGTTACGAGGAAACGATTTGCTCACCTACCGGGATGATTAATGAGCCTATGACCGGGGCGCTCCCTCTCCAATCAAGCCGGTCATTAATTCCGCTCCGACACATGGCGTTTCCGACCTCGGTCCAGTTCCATTATTTATTCTGCAGCGTATCGGAAGGATGGCGGCAGGAGGTTCGGCATTGAAGCCGCAGGGAAAGAGGGAGCCGGGCCCGGTGCCGGAGCCCATTGGTTAGCCGCTCCCGGCGGGAAATCGGCCGGAACCACCTCTTCTATTCAACGGACAACGGAATTTTTTTTCCTTCTCTCCTTTCACAAAAAGGAAAATGGTCACGCATGGAGTGAGGCCGGCCCGACAAGAAATACATAAACATGGCGTCACGGGGTTTTTCGCGTTGGAGGACCTCCAACGATCCGTCGGCCGGAATTACGAAACGAGCCTATTGTGAAAGCGTATGAAAATAAGCAGATCTGCACGATTAGGCAATTCGAAATGCTGCAGTTCAACTAGGTTGACCACAAAATTATTATTGCAACAAATCATTCATTTCAAAAAAGACTCAGTCGAAACTACCCCTAATACACGAAGAGGGCTAGACTCAGAGGAGTGATAAGTCTACTAACAGATCACTGGCATCTGAGAAATCTATACAACATAGACATACGATGCATGATCCCATCTGTAGATTATGCAATGAGGAGGAGGAAACAGCTACCCATATCATCCTCGAATGCTAAGCATCGGCTCAATGGAGATTTAACCTAACATACAGGAAAAACCTAAGAATTGCAATTGTAGCAGCGAATGACCTGATACTTCTAAGAAGAAGGATTGAGTCTGTTGTACTGAACTAGGGAACTAGGAAAGTACAATAAGCCAGAAGGCTGCAGTGCCTGGGGAGCAAAACCGCACACCTAGTATTCTCATTACCATTACCCGGAATACACGATTTTCTAAGACAATTAAGAAATTTAAGATTTTTATAATCCATCTTGCTTTCCATTCCTTCCAATAATTATAGATGATATTGATAAAACATGGATGTGTGATAGGTTAACTAAGGATGATATAATTTTAATGTAGCATGGACGATGGTAGACCTTTTGTGTTGACGAAGGTCGAACTCATAATTTTACTATTGTAAGTAAATTTTGATATTGTTAATGTGTGAATTATTAGACACAGTTTCAAGTTCATATTCCACTAAAAGCTCATTGAAGAAACTGAATTTTCTTTCAATTAAATTTTTTACATATAATTAAAATGAGATAAAGGCATGAACATCGCAAAGAAATTAGTTTAGTTCTCATTTATGATTGATGTTGAGATGATATTTCTATACTATTCACAATAATTGACACCAAAAACACATAAAATACAAAGCATTCACCTATTTCTTATGAAAACCATAATCAATTATTTCCAACAGAAAAGTGCAGGAAACGTCATCGAGATAAAACGGAAAACCAAACAAAAGTGCATTTCAAATGACAGTTTTTAAAGAAAGGCATCACCTGTAAACACGATGCGAACATTTTAGCGTTCGTAAAACGTAGAATAAACAAAAGTAACCTATTCATTCTTTTTCTTCCAGGAAAGTCCAACAGATTTTACGGTATTACAAATTCTATAGAAAACGCTTCTTTTCTAATCATGCTAATCACTTCTATAAATATTTCCTGTTTTATGTACCTAGCTTTCTTACAAAATCCGTAATCCCAACGTACTAACATCAGTCATTACAATTAAAAAAAAAAAAAAACATTGGAAGCTGTAACATGGATTCGATTATAATAATTCATTTTTCCTAGCCATTTTATACTAAGCTTAGTTGGTGTAAGACTGTGTTTCATAGGTTTATCATTGTGACCTATGCTGATGCATATTTTATTGGCAAGTCTTGTTGTAGCATATATAAGCACGTAATTTTCCTTTTGTGAGCCTGATCAATTATGACCCTTATTTCGGTCTGACGCATTTGTACATGTTGATATTTTTGTAGATGGTTGTAGTTAAAAGCATACTCAACCATGTGTATCATTTATTGCTTTGGTAAGACGTTCAATTCTTGAGTAAGTTGACACCCAGCGAGGATGGACGGGCCTGAAAAAGTATAATGGCTATAATTGACTAATTCAACTACGGTTATACATCTATTAGTTTTTAAATTGCATTAGTGAATGATTCAATAGAATTAAGGGCTATTTAACAGGAAGGAATGTTGTTAAACTACCGCTGATGATTTTATTCTTACTAAAGATAATTATGTACGGAGTGTCTTGATAATTTTAATTTTGCATCGGTGTTAAACGGACATTTTGTATTCAAGTTGAGAGCGCAAAAACAAGTCTTTAAGATTTGTTTACTAATTGAACCTTCGGGAGGTAATGAGCCATGGCGACATGGACTAGGAGATACACACACGCCCTTCAGACAATGGGCACGGGCTCACAGATAATAAGCGGGCCCACCACACCCTGCCACACTTAGCATACCGAGCACTCCTCGAGAATAATCCGAGGGGAGGGCAAAAGCCACGCGAAGGTATAAAAAAAGAAATTGTCATTTACGATGTGTTCGCGAGGTGAAGTGTGGCAGTGGGCGGCGGACAAAGGTCCGGTCGTTTTGAAGTCTCCAGAGGAGATCTGACCTGATCTTAAGAAGTGACATTGGTATGGCTGGAGTTAATAAACATATTTAAAAAAATAATTTTATTGATAATTAATAAAAGGGAGATTCATAGGCCGATTTTTTCATGTCTAATTTTCATAAACTACTACTCGGTCCAGAATAGGCGGACCGAAGCTGTTCTGTTGTGATGAACGCACTGTCTAAGTTTGAAAAAGTCCCATGGAAAAAGTCACGAAACGTCGAGTCGATATTTTTAATGAGCGAACGGCTAATCCACTTAGCGTACGCCCGGACAGGAAACAGAAACATCACTATCATTGTGCACGTCATCTAATGCCGTGATCCGTTGGTCTATCTTTATCAATCCGGGTGATGAGAGCTTCGAGGATGTCTTATGAAATCAGCCGGATGCTTTTTTATACCGGCCTTTAATTAAAATACGCCCCCTATTCGAAATCAAAGAAATAACAACGATTCCCATCCAAGAAAAAAAACCAATGTCAAAAATATTAAATAACATTAGATTGAATGATGTAAATTATACAAACACACTGTTCATATTATTCGAAGGGATTTCACTGAGGACGGATCAAAATTGATCTGAAAATCGACGTCTTCCACAGAACAAAATCAAAATTGACTATTTCATAGAGACTAGGTAAATCTAAGAACAACTTCGCCAAATATGTCAATCATGAATAATGTAAAGAACCATCTCGGTATTTGATGCTAATCTGCTAATGCACAGCTTTCTTGATGGTAAAATTAATTTAAGTATTTCATTGAATATAACTAGTGACTTATATAAGTAACTTGCACAAGTGAAAAGCTAATCATGACTACGAAAAAAAGTAGCACCTCTGGAATGGGCGAACCTGTCCTTGGGAGTTGCATAAAACTTGGATTCGAGCTGAAAAGCAGGCACGAATTATTATTATGCAAAATATGTTGTTTATAACATACAACGTGAATGTAGTCAAAGATCAACAAAGGATAGCGAAGAAAACTACAAAGGAGTTGAGTGATTAAACCATTCCAGTCACATGAAAACTTAATTTTTTTGCTGTAAGAAGTAACGCTATCGCGAATTAATCAGGAAAAGGTTTTTAATTGTCGGTGTCAACGTCTCATATACGGTGGTGTGGTCCGTGTGACCCACAGAGCGTGGTAATTACGAGGACAATCTCATCCTGGACACTTCGTCACGCCAACCGGGATGATCAAGATTTTCAGAAGATAGAAAGGGACTGGCAGCCGGAGCAGAGTAATTGGACGCGCGGAACAACCCGCCGACTGTAAATTACATCTTCGGTGACTCCGGTCTTAATGGCACGTACTGTACCGTTGTCTCTCTGCAATTAGTACCTCGAGGTGTCCGCGTACGCCTGTTACACGCCTCAATCTCCTGTAAACAACGAGACCCCCTTGTTATCGGTGAATAGCATGCGAGAAATTATAAACAACCGGCTTTCGATTGTTTTCTCGAATCTTGACAAGGTTATCCCAGGCCTCGACGGCCGAGGCTGACGTTACGTCCGGCACGGAAAGACGGGAGGGCCCCTTCTGAAGTAAACATCGGGGAAGTTTTAAAAATAAAGCCTCATTTTTTACGTAAAGCCTGGAGCAAGGCGTCTCGTCTTGAGGCTCCAGCGTCCCGACGAAAATAAACCGAGTCCCCTTCTATTTCCGGAGGCCTTCCGAGCTAGTCGACGCTCTGTATTTCGGAAAGAGACATCAAAACGCCGTTAATATAAATGCATATTACGGCCAGAGTGGCGTGATTGGGTTATTAAATCGCCGAGGACGTAAATTAAAGGCAAGCCATGCTAAATAGCTCCGCCATTGGGAGCTTTACGGCTTCCTGCCAAACTATTACGACTCTAGCCCGTACGAAGCCAGTTTACTCAATTGTTCGAGGACCTCGGATCTGAATCTATCTATGGTTATTTTACACTTTGTTTAACGCCAAAGTACGTGAAACCAATTTAAACTCCAATTAATCAGAATAACAACATGTAACAGCGTAAGGAAACCACGCAGCCTAGACTGTAATCAAATCTGCGATGTCAGTACATCCCAGTATTCAAACTCTTTTACCAACGATGAATTCTGGAATTGTTTTGGAAACAAAAGTAATCAAACATTCGTTTATAATTTATAAACACACAAAAATAATTTAGAACAAAATGACAGAGCTCGCCTGGAAACAAAACAATATTAACATCTCGATTGCCACAATAATTAACTAAACATAAAATTCAGGATAATCTATTTGTTCCTTTTGACTGCGTTTTTATGCATATAATTTTTTTCGAAATTTGACATGATTCCTTAATATTTTACCGAAATTAAAAACTGATATTGTAGAAAACGGGACCACATCAAGTTCGCGGTTATTTTTTGGTTTATACATTTAAAATTAAGTGTAGTCTAAAAACGACCCATAATAAAAACAGGCAGATCGGGTATTCGAACAGAAGTTCCTCTATGTAATATTGCAACGTAACCAAAAAAGTGGAAAGAAGCCAAAAGGGGACCTATTTATTTACAAATATTCTCTGACCATGTTGATCAATATTAGTCATTTAAACCCGTTCTTTTCAATTCGTTTTATTCATTTTAATCTTATTGCAGTTCAACCGTGTCAAATGTCCCAAACTGGACAGTCAAGAGTACAAAAAAACATACATAAAAATTTAGAAATTAAAAACTTCACATTAGATAAAACGGATAAANGTCTACAAACGACCCATAATAAAAACAGGCAGATCAGGGATTCGAACAAAAGTTCCTCTTTCTAATATCCGTGAGTGAATTACTCTTTTGTAAGCTTGTAAAATCGTTTTTGAAAACCGACGGGTCAGAGAAAGGGTCCGCGACATCTCTATATTAATGTGCCGGACTATCCGAAAAAGACGAGATTCCAACTCATAACTCGACCTATGTTGAGGAACGTAGAAATAGCTCACGGTAGCGGAGTCGGTTCTTAGTGACCCTAGTACTAATGCAGGACAAGATCTCCGGAGAGTCAATCCTATCCGAATCTCGTCTTACTGTATAAGGTAGGTCACGACTGACTCATGAATATTCATTTTGAACGGCAAATATTTAGATGCCCTCCTTTGTACCTTCGCAATTATGAGCGATCCGCTGTCTGATCCGGGCGACACAACAATACTAGCATACTCGAAATGGCGACAAAGTGATTAGTAGAGGATTTTTATGGCAAATGCATTTTCAAAATCTACCTGCCTTCTAATTAAGACCAAATTTTTAAATGCTTTTTTGAAACAGCTTCAAAGTGGTGATGAAAATCATAGGTTCTTATAAAAAAAGTCAAGGTCCTAGATGGAACTGATGTAGTCAGTAGGATGACCATTGAATCTGTAAACAAATAAGTCACGCTCATACTGGCCTTCTTTGAAAATTTTATGACCTTACATTTATTTTTAATTCATTTAAAATTATTAGTGTCGCACCAAGACCAGAAACCATCCAGATCCTTCTGCAGTAAATACATTGCTCGAATAGGAAAGTTCGGCGAAGGATTTTTAGGCCGACAGCTAAGGGAAAAACCTGGAGTTATTTATGACTTATATATACTTAATGAAGTATGACTTATCAAACATCATTGAAAAATATCAAAAAATTAAAATAACTAATTCTATGTTAACTTAGATTTAAACTAATTATTCAGAAATCGTGCGGTCTGGTGTGATGTAGGTTTCAGAAAAACATTTTCTTTATCGTGCCAACGTTTCGATCTTTATTGAGATCATCTTCAGGGCTTAAAGTGTTTGTCTTCTGTGCAATTGTGCCATTCTTGCGTGTCGTGAGAGTTTAGATTTAAACCTAAATGCTTCCATGACGATTAGTGTCATTGTTTGAATACGAAAAAAATTGATTTTCAGTTGTAAACTAGAGATTAAAAGATGACTTAGGTAATCAAGACTTGCTGAAAATTTCCTCGTACTTGAAATGTTGTTTGGCCCGGATTAGACTTATATCACCGAGGCTAGGGCCAGTGTGGTAGGAATTAGCCACACCGCAGACCTCTACAAAAAAACTCTTACAGTTCCATCTAGCAGTCTAACTCATAGGCATAATTGTTGTAAGTACAAAATCGCAATAATTCCTGCCAGAACGGTTGAGCCAGTTCTAAAATTGCAATTCAGGACCTGTTGACCGTCGAAGAATTCTCTCCACCCGGCATTCCAGGGCGTGGGCCGCGTTGGCCGAACTTCGGGGGACAATGCGCGCCAGTTGAGGACTGAGAGTAATTTTCATCCCACACTTTTACCTTTCCGTTTGTTTGGTAATCGTTCTCAGTGAACGCCTCCGCCTGGCCATTGATATTGTAATGAAGAAGCCTCGGACGGCCTCCGAGAGGAGAGTACGAAATAGGGTAAAAAAGTAGACAAAAGTAAGACATCCTGTTTTAATTGGTCCATATTTCCTGTGGCTCCGGGTCC